AACAATAGGGAAAAATCTATGGAATTGGATAATCTGCACGATTACTCCTGGAATCCCTAACTCAATATCCGCCATTTAATCCAGCTAAATTGAACTTTAAACTGGAAAAATCAACCTTCACAATTTAAAAACAAATTGACGCTATTAACGATGAAAATTTACTCGGTGTTTTCCAATTTCCACGGCAATTTCTAAAAATAAAAACCCTACCATCGATTCACAATTCCAATTAAACGAATCCAGCGCGCCGACCAGCTGAAAATATCCCGGTTTAACGTCTCTTTAGTCGCTATTTCTCCGGAAACGTTAAGCAGAAACCGTAAAAAACGCGACTGAATTTATTTTCCACGGACATTGTTCGAAACCGCTAACTCGCCACGCCTTTGAACTGCGTCGTGTTGCTACGATTTTTCATCTAGAGACCTCGCCTCGTTTTATCGAGTATAAATTAAGCAATCATAACGGCGGCACACTATACAATTCGACCGATAAAACGTTTCGAAACTTCGAGCGAAACGAACTTCGCTGTTTTACGGTTACTCCGAAGCCTTCGGATATGTCGACAACAGGTGACGATGGTCAGCCTGGTCTTATTGTTCAACTTAATTGCGTTACGGTGAGACGACCATTTTAATTGTTTTCTCATTTTTCTTTAAAATTAGTTCGGTAATGAAACTTTAACGCTTGATGAATTTTCATATTTCTATGGAAATACCAGTATCTTAGATTCAATAAATGTAATATCGAATTTTCAAATATCCCATAGACGATACAACCTTGCACGAACCTAAGATTCTGACAGAGATTAATCGTTTCCTTGATACTTTAAATTAATTATCACGTTCCATACGAAACCAGCAGCTGCTCTAATATTTATGACTAGGATTGTGCATACTACAATACAGCTTCAGCTCGCTTTTCCCGGATCCTTGCCAACGGCAGAAACGCTCTTCCATTAGAAATTCGAGCGAATCGAAACTCTTCCATACGATTTCGATTACCCTCCATTCAGGAACTAGGATCGTCAGTGGAAGATCAACGACTAGAACACACGGTGAATCATGTTCCATTCGCGAACTGGGTCGACGATTATCCTGTTACACGTAACCGGTGGTAAAGCAGGTGGCTGCATTACCACGCTCAGGAGATTCCATGGAATCGCGGCCAAATCGAGTAGAATACTTTCAATCGGTTACCCTAGTCTATTCACCGGAGCGATTTCTACGAGGCTTCCGCATTGTTGACCTAAATCCTGGTGTATATGTGCAACGAGAACCAGCCAGTAGTTTCCCTTCTACCCAATTTCTTCGTTTCCGGTTAGTCTGCACCAGCCACCGGATGGAAACGCGACTGTTATCAGGAATTTACAAGGATTACCTTCTGTGTACGCAGCTTCTCCTCTATTGACATTCTCTTTGCTCCGATCGAAGGAAATAAAATGTTACGGAAAATTTTGCTGCGTGCTGAACTCACGTTAGTCCAATTTGGCAGTTAGTTCTGGCTACTTCGTAACGCTCCCGTTGTTAATGCGGTCCAAAGCGATTCGACCAGCGAGTACTTCGGTATTCAGGATTAAAAGTGTTTTCGAGTTGGGCGACTTGAAAAAAAACTTTGGTACATTCTTTTGTCCGAGCTTTGGATTTTTCAGTTTCCTAACTTTTGCATCGAAGCTTCAATTAATTGTGTTTTCAATCATTGAAAGAAGAACGAAGTTTTAGTAATTTAAAGAACGAGCGGGAGACTTCCCCGTTATGCTAAATGTTTTGCGATTCGACGACGAAGAAAATTAATCTTGGCGAACGTTTGAAGCGCTCCGAAATTAATGAGAATCGGAAAATTGAATTTGAAATACAACACCAGCGAGGGTAAGGTTTCGCCGGGTACTTGAATTGTTCGTTAATAAGGGTACACCGTAATTTTCCTTCTGATTAAAATGTCCTTTTTCTCCAGGATTTTTCAAAGTATCTATTATCCATGAAAATAACAACAAACACCGTACATCTATATATAAAACCAATAAAGAACAATTACTTCAAAATGAACTCAGAAAAATTCTTAATAAAATTAAGATAGGGATAAAAATTAGTAGATAAATAAGGACAAACCAATCTGTAACATTGTCTATTAAATTCTACATTGATTACTACTATTCCCTTTACCAATATCTTACCACTGCAATGATCGTGTTCAGCTTGCCCAATAACGCGACACTAGCGCCATGTGGGCGTTAACTAGTGTCATATAGTTACCATTGCTAAGTTTACATTCAGCAGAGTATTTGTAACTCTCTATATTTAAAAAATTAATTATATTTTCTATAAGCATAAGCAAAACAGAACTCTGAGTAGTCACAGTGTGGACGAAAATCAATAACAATCTTCATTTAACTCCTTAATCCCTACTCTCACATGAGACCTCTAACTTCCCTCGACAGAAACCCAATTCCCCCTCGATAAATCCTAAGACTCTTTATTCCCATCCATTCCAGGCTGAAAATCCAGCGTGAGTAAATGATAAAACGATAGCTGCTGGTAGAAAGAAATACGATGCTCCAGGAAACATCCAAAATTCAGCTCCTGACCGTCAGCCAGGAAACACGGAGACGAACAATGGGTTAGGATGAGACGTTGGATAGGATAGAAAAACATCACGCGGCTCATTGCCGGGAGATTTGGCGGAAAGCGGGCTGAGATTGCCGGGAAATCCTCGGGAACATTACCGAATCGGTACGCGTGGTCGCGTGCGAGTTACACGGCCGCACGGAGGAAAACAAAGAAGAAAGGGATCCTATGAATTCGTGAGTGACTTCGGATATCACGTTCCCCGGCGTCTGCCAGACATTTCCTTCGGGCTTCCTGTGTGCATACGCGCGCGGGCGCGCTTACATCCCTTATGCGTTATACAGGGTGTCTCTCTACGAGGCACGTTTTCTTCGTCTCGAATGCTGGATAAAGTTTTTCGAAAAATTCTTGGTGCCAGATTTCGAAGCTGTTTAAACACCCCATAATTGTCACCCAATTGAATAAAATATGTTACTGACGTTGCTGAATATTTATACGAACGAAGAAGAAGAATAATTATACGATAAAATGAGCCAAAGTAGGAAGCTGGTTCAAATGTTTAACGATTCTTTAGTAAAACATTGAAATATTTGTTGCAAAGAAAGCGAGATGGGAATATAAAAATTGCAGTAATCATTTTGAATGTTTGATCCAAAATTTGATCGTGGATAATAATTAATTAAATTGCTTCACGTGTATTCAATACGAATGACCCATCTAGAATGTCATTGCAGAATTGGATATGGAAAGTATGCGCTGTGTTGGTTCAGATTATGGATTACCCGTGGTAATCAATGGTACTGTAACTAGTAAATAATTAACTTAATAGGAAACCTAATCTGGTCTACAATTTAGCACCAACTGGCTCGTTTAATAATTGGTTAACCTAATTTTATCGTTATTTACCCTCTTCTATGCACAATAACAAAACCTATTAGATAATGACAGACAAAGTGTATTCACAAAGAACTATCGATATCATAAGCACGGTACGAAATATTTAAATGAAGTTCTCGTTCCAAAATGCTCACCTCTTTCGCGATAATTTATCGATTAGTGAATTTAAAAGGTACCGATCCCGCTTTGGAATATTTTCCTTTATCGAAACGAAAGCAAAATTGAAATATTAAAATTCGGAAGAAGATTTTTTTAAACCTTCTCGATATAACGATATCAGGTTAGAATAATATGTATAAGACAGTTTTTAACGACAGAACAGAAAACACAATTGGATGAAAAGTGAACCGAATAACAGCAATGGAATTGAAACGCAAGACGAGAACAAAGAATCATAGGGCAATAAGGTTTGAAGGCAGCAACCAGGATTCAGAATTTACCAAGGACGAGAAGGAGGCCTGGGTTCCTTGGTTGAAAGGGCCGGGAAAATTTCAACGGTGGGAAAGATATGAATTTTCATCGGGAAGTCGGACGATAAATTTCCCGTACTCTCGCGACGCTTGCCCATTATGTAGATAATCGCGCGACAGAATTTACGTTCCGTGATGCCGCGACTTTGTAGACACGGCCAACGAAAACGAAATCGCGGCGTGGAATACATTTGCGGCGACCTCGCGTTTCTATAAACTCGCCTTATCCATACATATAGGGTAGCCTAAAAATACCCAACGTTTCGTTCAATTTACAAATAGGACAAAAAGGAACAGGAACTAAATTAAGAAAAAATGTATAAAGTGCGTAAAGTATACATATATCACCGTTTAATTTCGTCCTCCCAAAATTTTTCCTACCCCAACTATTTTCAAAGAAATTGCAGTCGTCCATTTGCATATACACCCTGTAGTCATCCTTAATATAAAACGCATTCTTAATTTGTCCGACTCTAGTCGTCTTTAATAATGAAAAAGTTAATGACATCTAAACAGATGCACATCTAGGGACTTGTTTAAATTTAATACAAACAAGTGCCAGGAAAATTTATTTGCAAAACAGGTACGCTCTTTTGCCTGGTCTAACCTAGTTCCATGTCGTTCAAGAAGTCGCACCGCCCCATTGTGCCACTGAAAACGCCCATGAACATTTTCTTTCTCCTCGGTTCTTTGTTTGTCGTAATACCTGACTCGCGAGCAGCAAAAAAAAAAAAAAAAAGAAAAAAGGAAAGGAGAAAGACGAGACCGAACAATTATAGCTTCGGCATTTCGCGGCTGACGAACGATAGAGTAAGCAATTACACGACGCATTCTTTCCTATTTTTCTCCTCTACTTTTTGAAATTTCGCGGCACGCTGAAAATAGGATGATCCACGTGACACGGTAAAAAGGAGCGTTCGTTTCGCAACGTTTCGAAAACTTTAGTTGCGTTTTCGAAACAATGGGCAATGTTTCATGAGAAATTAAACTGTGTGATTCGTTGAATTTCAAAGAAATTCTGAGAGTCCCTTTGGGTTTGAATTACTATTGGAAAATATACTCTGGTACTTACGTTCCACAGGGTGGTTAGTCGCTCGTCCAGGCGAACATTTTTGAGGTTAGGATCGTGTTACGAAGAGATCAACGTTCATTGGTTTCTTCTGAAATTGGAAGAAAAGAGCTGGGTTAATTAAATACGTTTTATACTTTAGAAATCAATAAATACGTTGTTGCAAATTACGTGCTCGACAAAGAAAATGAACTTTTTAAGATTAAGGTTAGCGATAAATTAAACTCAAATGCATCTTCCCGCAATGTATTTACCAAAGTAATTCTCATTTGGAATACACTTAAAAGTGAGGCGCACTAAAGACGAGAATAAGGCTAAGGAACTGGTTGAAACGACAATTGGTAATTTAATTATATAGATGGCCGGGAAATAAAAATTCTCACCAGAGAAGCAAAACTCCAGCGTTTCTAATTCAGGGAATACCCTGCGGTGGAGTCTGTGTTTCAGTTTCTTACGCGAGTAATTTTCATAAAAACACTAATTCCAATGGAAACCTTGAGATTTTATGAAAGTCCAGCTTTGGCCAATTCCGGGCCATAGTTGATTTTATTCTTTTCTCTTAGCGGCAGCCCAATATCCGTCGAAAGTTTCTCAAAGAGCAATCCACCCCCGCGAGGCGGTACTTAAGCGAAAAAAAATTCCTTTTTCGCACTGATAAAAAGAAAACTCGTTGATAAGCAGCGACTCGTCTAGTTTCGCGTGTACACAAAACTTCTACTTCGTATTTATTCTAGTTTATCATCATTGCAGGGCAACAAAAAATTAATTCCCTACAGTGGGCTATTTATGATTTGAGATGAATAGGATCTTAAACTAAATACAGGATTTTCCTATTTAAAATTATTGATATTTTCTAATTAATTTCGAGTAATTAACCCGGGTGCCTATCATACGTTCACAAGAATAACATAAAATTAATAATAACTTTATTTCGTTACAGTACAATTTTTTTATAAAATTTATATAGTTTCTCTAACTATCGTAATAAATTACGTATGAATTACACAAAAAAAAATGTTTTTATCTCTGCATATATTCACCAATGCTTTTGTTTGCTTGTTTTATATAAATGAAAGCGACCCTTTTAAAAGCTGTACGAAAAGTTTCGTGGCTGACTGTATACGTACTACAACTACTATTTATATGCATCTTTCATTCTCGTTGTTTCAGCCAGCACGCGTTATTTTAAGGAGGCTACGTACACGTACACACACACTAGAGAACGCGAAACAAAAATCACTAGACGTTGCGGATGTATAGAGGCAGGCGCGAGACATACGACGCCCATGAAACTTCGATGACGACTGAGTTCGCTCACGATTTCAAGGGTGTGTAGACTCATAATTTATAGCTCTGTAGTGGGAATACCGCGAAATCATTCAACGAACAAATGCGCCTTTGTCGAGTAGGCTGGAATGCAGAACGTTTAGATAAAAGTAATTAAAATGCAAGGCTAATAAAAGATAACGAATGATATTGTTTCTGCCTATTAGTGATTTTAAAAATCGCTCGATCATGGTTTAGTAACCTTAATTCGTGTTTGGCCCGGCGTTACTGTAATAAGGCCATTTATCGGATTTATCATTTTGGATGACGAATTCAATTTCTGTGCAATTATTTATTAATACATTAATATTGTGTACTTATTATTACATGAAATATATTTACATGAAATAATAAATATATTAATATGATAATATACGTAAGAGAAACATTGATGTTTCAAAAATCTGTCAGCTTCGATCAATTCGTCAATACAAATATTTGACTAAAAATGCATGTATAAAATTCTATAAAAATAAGTTTTTCTAAGAAATATTGGCAATCCCTAATTGTATTATTATAGGAGAAGACTTGGTATTTTTTAAACAAATATTTTTCTACACCGATATTTGATTTAAGAAGGAAAGTGTACAATATAATTCAACAAAGTTTCAAGTACTTAAAAGATCGATACTAGCTGCGATCAATCTTCCGCGCGTTACTAATCAGCAAATCTACGATTTATTCCATTAGGAGCTGTTGCGATGAAATTGCCCTTCTTTCCAACTCATCCCTTGGTAAAATCACCCTGAACAAGTTCAGTAGTTGCCGGGCAAGCATGCAGAGTGCGAGAAACGAGCGGAAATCAGCGCAGCCAAGACCAGTTACAAGCGTTATTCCTTAATTGCACCGTTGAATGCAAGAAGGGCCCCAGTGTCGGATGTTAGTTTCCATAAAAGTGTCACTGAGCGAAGTTAAATGTTCTTGTAACATCGTTTAATGTTTTTAAAAATCCAATATTTCCTCTTTATAGCTTCTAACGAATTGATTACAATAGTACTTCAATCTCTCCGATCCATTTTCGTACAAATTAAACATAACCTATAATCTAACGATACTGGTTCAGATTTAGAACTACAATTGTAAATCATTCATTTGTTTATTCAGTTACCACAACGTGGCAAAGAATATTAGAAATTTCACTATAATAAAAGATCTTGGAAAATCATGGATGCACAAAAATCATGTTTTATCTGAAAATGACGATTCCAATTGAAAGTACTTTGTCGAAGCTTAAACACCGTTCTTTTTATTCTCCGATGACAAAGTCAAAGTCATCGGCAGGCCAAAGCTTTTGGTTCGCGCTAAATCTTGAACTTCGTGAGCGATTGTCCCTTCTGGGCGTTATTTTCTAACGCCGCTTTGAGAGATCTCTCGCGAGGAAGAAACAATTTTCCACGAACAAAGGGCGCGTCGAAGGTCTCGCAGACGCCATTACAGTGCGTCGATGCGTGCCACCCGCCATTTTGTTCATCGGGAATTCATGAAAGCTTGCGTGTCGCGTTCAGACTACACTCAGGATGCACATTGTTCCCACGAACACGGAATGGAATTTCGTTACAACTTTCGTTGAGCACGTTCCAGGCGATTTTATTAGTTGGAATTAAAATGGCTGACGCTAGCCACGCGCGCGGAAGCGAGTTTTGATGAGCGGATCGATTGATGAGCCCCGGCTCTGATGTTTGGACGTGCCGTTTGCCAAATTGTGTGCACGTTTTTGAAATTAGGCGAGTTTGTTTGCGCCACCGAATGGACGATCGAATCACAGATACGTGGAAACCAAAGTGTACGTTCCGATGTAAGAAGGATATGATATTTCTGCCTGACGCTTTCGACATTCCAAATATCCTTCTTCATTTTCCGGACATCGCTTAAAATTATGAAATATTCAAAACTTATTTTCTTCTGTATGTTATTCAAAAAGTTTCACTTGTTTCAATGATTTGATTGCGATATGTATGCAACTTTTTCTTATATCTTAATCGTTGCTTTAATCTAAGAATATGGAATGAAAAAATGTACACAAAACATTTGTTTTTCATTGCTAAACTTTCATCTAGAAAAGACGCCTGCAGAAATCGACTAAAAAAAGTTACAGGACCTACTTTAAACCCGTATCTCAATATTTGGGTCAGAACAGCGCAAACAGCGGCCATGTCGGTTCCAGGTGGCGCTAGGTTGATATCTTCGAACTCGAATCTTTCTAAGATTGTTTGATGATAAATTAAAGGTGGTGTGTTAACGTGTTTCTCGCTGGAAATTCAGATTTTCGGTCCTTTCTGAACTCTCGTTAGGCTGGTTTAGTTAGTCTCTTTGTGGATCATTGAAGTTCAGCGATGGGTCGAGAGACTCGACTAATTTTCAACTGCGAGACGTTGCCCCCGGCGTTCAATTAACGAGCCTTTCTTCGATACAAGCAACTCGTGATCAGAGAATCGACGTGAATCCTCCCCTCGTGAGGTGTACACGCGTTCTAATTATTACCCTCGTTGATACGCTGATGTACTGTTTTGTTCAGGTTGTTTGGTAAATCGGAGCTCAACCTGGATAGTTAAGAAAATTGATACTTGCGTGTCTTTGTCCTTCGCTGCTTCTGTCTGTCGATTATTTGCGAACAAATTGCTTGTCATTTGTTCTATTCTCTTAATCGGAATATGAAAATTTGTTGAAAGAGCCAAGTTATTACGAGAGATTGTTATTAAAACACTGATAAGCCGAACATTTGTGGCAACCGCAGTGCCTCTCAACTTAAAAAAAGCTGCGGAACGTTGAAAATTTTGCTGGCATCGGTTCGATGACCAGACCCCGGACCAGTTCTAACGGTCCCAACATCGAAAAACGACACAACGCGTCTTATCCGATCCAACACAAAGATTCGTGGCATTTTACTAAGGATCTGTAGATGACAGCGATTGCACACGAAATAACAATGCACGCGGACAGATATAGCATCGTTTCGACGTAACGTAATCAGGAAAACACACCTGGGGAACAGAAGGGGCTTTTATTCGATATAATACGATCGATCGACATAATTGGGATGGGGGGAGTCAGTCTGCCGTAAATCCAGCGGGCGGATTAGCGAGCGTGGCGTTACGACATATGTACGCGTGCAATATTTAAGCCTCGTTAAACGCATAATTTCAAATCGGCCGTGGGCTTCGCGTCATATGTTATTGATAACCGGGGCCGCGAACGCGCGGCTCTCTGTTGAATAATGCGCGGATTACGCGGTCTAAACTAAAGCAAACGTCGAATAATTAACAAGACACCCTGGCTCGCTTTGAAAGGCCGACACGAGAGCTCCTGGCGGACCCGCGAGCGTTACGCTTCGGCCTCATTAACTATACAACTCCCAGTCTCTTTGACGCGGCGCGAAGAGATTGATGAGCCCGGGCTCCGACCGATTAGAGGCAGTGATTAAGAAACCTGGCCTCTTCGGTTTGTGTTTGCGCGTGCGTGTGAGCTCCTGCTTTCCTGCATTTAAGTTTTTTGTTGCTTTAATGCTTCCGCCAGGTCCGAGCTGATCTCGGTTTGAGGATTAATAAAGGATAGATTTATAGGTTGACTAACTTTGATTATAATGGCTCTTAGAAAGCGGGTCTTTCAATTGCTCGTCATTTTGGCATCCGAATATCGTCAGAAATCTGCGTTCTACTATTTTATAAAGGCACATTAGGACCAGTGTCGACCAATTACGATTCGATGAAACAACGATAAAGGAAAAAAGACGATCAACTGATTAAATTTCTATATTTTTACCTGAAA